TCACCCTCCACTGTCCTTCACCCTCCACTGTCCATCACCCTCCACCTGTCCTTCACCCTCCACTGTCCTTCACCATCCACTGCCCTTCACCCTCTACCTGTCTATCCATTCCACATCGTCTGCCTTATTTTTGTGCATTTTGGTCAGTAAGTGCCCTCCAAGCTGGTCAGTAGGTGGGGGTGAAGGTTGTCTCGGGTTCCTGGTGTGTGAGTTTCACTTGCGGGGAATCCCTTGGGGCTCGCCCTCCCACATGACTGAGCGCAGCAGGACACACACCAAGTGAGCACATCCACCCAGACAACCCAGGGAGATCCCAGGAGGACGGGTGCTGGGAATGTGTTGTCAGAGCCACCGTGAGCGTGTCCACGGGAGCTTGGGAGGGTGGCCCTCTATCAGGTGCTGCTCAGTGCCTTGGCAGAAAACCTGGAGCAGCCTCCGCTGTGCCTCTGGACAGTGTGCTGTGGTTCTCTTTGTTGGTTTTCATTCCAACTTCCCTCTCAGTGCTGCTGTAGCACTTTTCACACTTTTGTGTTAATTGATTCACTGGCTGTTTTCCTATCACCTTCTCGTGGTTGCCATCCACTCCTTCACACCCGTGTAAAGTCACTCACGTGACTCACCCAGGGCCCCTGTGCCAGTCCCAGGAGACCCCGATTCCCAAGCAGTGTTGAGGCCCGCCCTGAGGGAGTGCCGGCCGCCCGACCTCCCAAGGTCCCCAATCTTCTCAGAAAATCTGAATTCTCTTTCATTTTCTTAGGTCCAGGCAGCTTCTGGGTGGCCTGGATTCCCCGTGGGGCCTCCCAGTCCCAGCCCTGGGTGGAGCTTGTGGGACACACTCCAGTCAGAGGGCCTGAAATACCCAGACGGGCGGCTGCCCATCTCAGCAGATGGCAGCTCTGTGGGGCCCCTTGCTGGCCCAGGGTGGTGTGCCGGCCTGCAGGTCAGACCCCTCTCTGCCCTGGGGGAGCTGTTGGCCCAGGGCTCTTGGAGGGGAGTGTCAGCCCACCCTGGCTCCAAGGGACAGCTCTCCCAACAGCCAGAGGTCTGGACAGGCAGAGTCCCTCACCTTGTGGCCAGGAGTGCACAGTCCCTGGACAAGGACAGACAGGGGGCACCACCCAGGCCCTGCTGGGCAAGTCCACAGGAGACTTGAGCCACCAGCACCCGGCCCAGGGACTCTAGGGATGGACCAAGTGGTGTCGCCGATAGCCTGTCCTCCCTGCGGCCAGGCTCCTGTGGCCATGCCCACTGTCCATGGGGGGTGCTGCTCCATGGGTCCCCTGGGCCTCCTCTCACTGCCCCAAAGATGGCTTGGAGGTGCAGCCTGTGCCCACAGCCGGCTGTCAGCGCCCTCTGCTGGCCATCAGCGCCCTCTGCTCTCTGGCAGGTTCTACCTCATCAGTGGAGGCGTCCCCTTCGTCATCTGTGGGGTCACTGCTGCCACAAACATCAGGAATTATGGGACGGAAGACGAAGACGCAGCCTAGTGAGTGCTGGCAGCCAGGGGAGTGGAGGGTGGGCACTTGCAGCCACTTTGCTGGCTCCCCAGGCAGGTGCCCACAGTGGTGTCCAGCTGTCAGTGACCAAGGTGCCTGGGTGAGGACCCCGGAGAGGAGCTGCAAGTCCTGTCCCTGAGCCCCAAGGCCACTCAGAGCTGTGCCCACGCCCTCCTCTGGGTGTGCAGAGCCCTCTCTTCCCTGCAGACTCAGCTTCCCACGGAATTCTTTCCTTGGCCACCCAAGGCCTAGTTTTCTCTAGGTAGGAAAAGTCTGGGGGACAGATAACAATTTGGCCACACCCCCATGTCACCTTCCCCAGCCTCTGACCCTGCTCCCTCTCAGCACCCACCCGAGCTTCTCCCTGGGCACAGGACATCCAGCCTGACCAGGAAGCCCTGCTCTCAGGCCCCTTGTCCCCAAACCCCACCTACCCCAGCTCTGCCTCTGCCACCTCCCCACCCAGAACACAGTCCCACAGTCCCGCTAGCCCCCCGTGCATGCAGGACTACCAGTTGAGCAGTCGGATCACAGCTGCCCGTCCAAAGTGTCTCAGTGTCACCAAGATGGGGTGGCAGTCAGCCAGGGCCTGCCTCCCAGCACTCACGGGCCTCAGTGCCCTGCACCTTCCCTTTTCTGTTTCCTTACCACAAAAGTAAAGCAGCCAGCTGAGGCCCCTGGCCCCAGGAGCTGGGGAGCCGGTGCCCGGGCTGCGCTCACCCCCGTCTCCCTGCAGCTGCTGGATGGCCTGGGAGCCTAGCCTGGGCGCCTTCTACGGCCCCGCTGCCCTCGTCGTCCTGGTCACCTGTGTGTACTTCCTGGGCACCTACATCCAGCTGAGACGCCACCCGGAGCGCAGGTACGAGCTCAGAGAGCGCTCGGAGGAGCAGCAGCGGCTGGCGGTGCCCGAGGGGGGCCACCGCCACGGGGCGCAGCCCTGCACCACGCCCGCCTGTGACCCCCTGGCCGCCTCGCAGCTGCAGAATGAGCACTCCTTCAAGGCCCAGCTGCGGGCGGCGGCCTTCACGCTGTTCCTGTTCATGGCCACCTGGGCCTTCGGGGCGCTGGCGGTGTCTCAGGGCCACTTCTTGGACATGGTCTTCAGCTGTCTGTACGGCGCCTTCTGCGTGACACTAGGGCTCTTCGTGCTCATCCACCACTGTGCCAAGCGGGAGGACGTGTGGCAGTGCTGGTGGTCCTGCTGCCCCTCCCGTGGGGACGTCCCCCAACAGCCCAGCACGCACCCCACGCTCGAGGCCAACGGGGACGTGCTGGGGCACATGGCCTGCCTGCAGGACTCACCGTGCCCTGGCCAGGCCAGGGGCTTCAGCCACCCAGCACCAGGCCACTGCAAGATGACCAACCTGCAGGCCGCCCAGGGCCACGCCAGCTGCCTGTCGCCGGCCACCCCCTGCTGTGCCAAGATGCACTGTGAGCAGCTGATGGAGGACGAGGCCCACGGTCACCTGCCTGAGGGAGAGGCCTTCCTACACGAGCCCCACCTGCACAGGTGCCTCGAGGGCAGAACTAAGCCCCACTACTTCCACCCCGCCGCCTCGGCCCCACGGGAGTACGCCTACCACGTCCCGTCCAGCCTGGACGGCAGCCCCCACAGCTCCCGCACAGACAGTCCCCCCAGCTCCCTCGAGGGCCCGATGGGGGTGCACACACTGGCTTGCTGCACCCCAGGCGACCCCTTCCCCATGGTCAGCCAGCCTGAGGGCAGCGACGCCAGCTCTGCTCTCTATGGCTGCCCACCACGGCTGCCTCCAGGCCCAGCCCACTTGGAGATGCTCCGCAGGACACAGTCCCTGCCCTTCGGAAGCCCTGGCCAGAACGGGCTGCTCAAGGGTGACCTCCGAGAAGGCCTGCCGTTCGGCACTGATGGGACAGGCAACATCCGGACGGGGCCCTGGAAAAACGAAACCACAGTGTAACTGGGGTGGGAGCCCATCGGCCTCCCCAGAGCCACCATGTCCCCAGGAGCTTCAGCACTTACAGGGGCCGTCTGCCATCTAACAGGGACTGGAGGTCACCAGTGACGGGGCCTTTCAGATGGGGCTCAGACGCCATCACCAAGACCCTCTTTGTGAAGACCCCAGTGAGAAGCACTCTGGGCCGCAGCTGCACTGGCCCAGGTGGGCCTGCTGTCCACGAACCGTCACCCACTCTCCATCTGTAGAGTCCAGTGCCCGGGGCAGCCCAGAAACACAGCACGGGATTCTATCCCAGGAGCCGCCCAGACCCCAGGCCGAAACAGCAGGGCGGTGACCAGCAGCCCTCAGCAGGGCCCCTGTGGACATTCCCAGGTGTTCAGTGAGGGTGTTCTGAGTTCATTCCAGGGCTGGGGCTGCTGCTTCTCCAGAGCACGCTTATGCTGGGCACTGTCTGCAGACCCCTCTGCCATCCTTATGTCTGTCAGCCACACGTGGGGCACCCACAGGAGCCCCTGCCCACTCCCCGCCTCCAAGCCAGCCCTGCCCTGGAGGTCGCCCACCCTGCAGCCCAAGAACACCTTGGGTGCTGGAAGGTGAGCCCCACTCTGGAGCTGTGGGGAGGAGCAGCTGATGGCTGCTGGCCTTCACGGGCGGGTCTGGAGGCCGTGCCTCTGGAGGATGCCCAGATCCTTCTCGATGGACACTCAGCTTCCTCCACCAGCCCCTGTCAGGCCTAGGTTCTGCTCCAGTGTGGGCACACACTAGCAAGTTCCCTTGCACAAGGAAGAGGGGCTAACTGGGGGTGAGGTCACCAGACAAAGTTTCTTTTTCTCTTTTGCATTTCCATGAACATCTAAGGACAGACATTGATGACGAGGAGTCTGTTCTGGAAGCAAGTGGCCCATCCCTGGGCAGTGTCCTCCCGAGGCAGGAGCCCATGGGTCCCACAGCCCTTCCATTCTTCTTCTCCCCTCCCAGTCTGTGGCACATGTGCACACACACACACACACACACACACACACACACACACACCAGAACATGTTGCATACATGACCAAGTGCAGACACACATTCAGTGTGCACATCACACACATGCATGAGAGTGCCTGTACTGTACACAATGTGATGTGTGTGCGTGCAGGTACATGCACATGCCATGCACATGTGCACACAGAGAATTAGGTGTTTTCCAGCTGCCCCAAGCATGGGTTTTCACTGCAGCTGTGGGTGTCAGCAGCAGAATCTGCTGTCTGTGTGCTTCACCCATGTGCTCTGCTCTGCCAGCTGGGCAGGTGGCTTCAGGGGAGCAGAGCGTTCTCATGTGCATCTCAGAGGAGAGGGCATGGAGATGTGGAGTGCCTTCAAGCAGCTGCTCTGCAGCATCGTGGTGGGTAGCCATCCAGAGGCCGGCACTTGTTATCTGAGCGAGAACCTGGGACTCAACACTTGGAAACCCCAAGAGATGCCATGACCCCCACAGACCTGCACCCAACGTGGACTCCTCCATGCAGAGAGGCAGCACCGGGCAGCGAGGGCCACCAGGCAGGGTCAGTCCTCGTCACCGTGCACCTTCCCGCCTGCTTCCACAGCGGCACGTGGACCCTGACGGTCTGCACCAAAGCCTACCGTCCTGAAAATACAGTGTTTGCCATTGTCTGTCCTGGGTGAGACTGGTCAATAGCATCCTGTGTGGTCTCTCGCCCCTGATGAGAAGGAGGGTCCAGGGGGTCTGAGCCTCATTCCATATGCTCCCCTGGGCCCCTCAGGTCCTTTCTGCCCTTAATGCCCCTGGCAGAGAGAGAGCACCTCATCATTCGACCAAAGAATTCAGCATTAAACACAACTGTGCTGCCTTTCAGTGTTGATTCAGCTCGTGGGTCCGCTGGGACCAGTGTGTGACACACTCCACCTGTGCGTTGTTTTCAGTGTGTAGGCTCACGTGTAGCTGCACCAGGAACGCCGTGGAACAGGAGGGCCGCCCACTGCCCCTGTCTGCAGCCTCCATGTGCCTCTTCCCTCTTGTGAGTGTGTGTTTGGGGGGGGGGGTTGTGCATGAGTGTGAGCACATGAGAGTACCCGTTTGGGAGCTGACCTTCGTGTGCACACGGGTACCTTCAGAGACAGAGCATTGGGCGCCCTCTCTACCCTGGTGTGTAACCCCACCACACAGAGATATCCACCTAAAGGGGCAGAGTGGAGAGCCCCGCACCAGGACCCTGGGGCTCTGCAGCTCCCTGAAGCAAGGCCCCAGTCCAGCCCGGGGCGCCAGAGCTGGTTAGTGACAACAAGAGCCTTGGGCCCGGCCCCCCAGGAAGTCTTATGAGGGTCCTACAAGTGGGCTGGCCAGGGAAGAACTGGGGGCCAGTCCCACTGAGAGGCAAGACTCTCTTCAAGACTCTCTGAGTGGCAGGAGCCCAAGGAGCCCTTTGAAGGCTTGGGCCCCAGGGAACCTCAGGACAGGGCCTGTCCCCAGAGAACAGAGATGGGGCTGGAACTCTGTGGGAGGAGTTGGTGACCCCGCTGGTGGAAACTCTGGTGCAGGACTCGGGAGCCCCTTACGTGATCCTCAGCCCTGTGCAGAAGAGAGCACCTCACCTCATTGGCTCTTCAGCCGTAGCTTCCACAATATCCTTTAGAATAAACCTATAAACCAATAAGGTCTCCCTTACCCAGGCCTCTGTGAAACAGGCCTTGCAGACTTCACCTGGCTCAGACGAGTGGAGCTGGAGCCCATGTGTCCTCATGGAAGAGGGGAGTTTGGTCACAGACACATGGGCACGGAGGAGACGGCACGTGAGGGCAGAGCAGGGACTGCAGTGTCATGCCACAGCCAAGGAACGCTGGGGGCTGTGGCCCCAGCAGGAGCCTGGGAGAGGCCCACCTGTGGCCTTGCCAACACCTGGATGAAGCCCTTCACCACAGCAGCCTGGGAACATGAACGCAGAACCCCTCTGCAGGCCAGGCCCTACGCTGAGCCTCCCACCGCTGCTCAGTGACAGTCCACTGCCCGTTTCCTCCCCAGGCCTCTTGGCTCTCTGCTTCAGGGCCTTTGCCCTGGTCGTCTCTCTGCTCCTCCCCAACTCTGCATGGTTCTGTCCCTCCCTGCTTCTAAAAACAGGCCAGATGGACCCACCATACACCTGACCTCCCGCATCCCTATTCTCTAAAGTGCTTTTTCCCTTCAAGACACCTGTCAAGTCCTGATACGAGGTCTGGAGCTGTTTATGGAATCCTCGGCAGAGGGCTGGGCTCCGGTCCAACAGGCCAGGTCTGGACACTCACCATGACTGCCCAGTCAGCACAGGGACAGTGGTGGAGGGACAGTGAAGGAGTCTGCTCAGTGTGGCCACACTGGGAAGAAACGAGGGCTGGTGTCCTAAGCCTTCCTGGGGACACAGACAATGGCTCCAGCACTGTAGGAGGAAGAACCAGGGAGGGGCCAGAAGTGTGCGTGGTCATGCAGTCCTGGTTAAAATGAGGTCCGCTGTCTGCTAGCTGATGGTCCTGATGGCACCGGGAGGTCATGATTGTTTGAGGGGCAACTTTGGCTTCTGTCACAAGATGATCCACACGCAGAACTTGCTGCTCCAGAAACTGGGGATCAGCTGGGGAGGAGAAATGGCTCAGAGAGAGCGAGAGCAAGGGGGAGAGGGGAAGAGAGAGAGAGAGAGAGAGAGAGGGAGAAAGGAAGTCAGGGAGAGGGAAGGAGAAGGAGAGAGAGAGGAAGGGAGGGAGGGAGGGAGAGAGGGAGGGAAAGAAAGAAAGAAAGAAAGAAAGAGAGAAAGAAAGAAATAAAGAAAAGGCAGGCAGAAAGGAAGGAAGACAGAAAGGAAGGAAGGAAGACAGAAAGACAGAAAGGAAGACAG